GGTGATGGAGAAGTTCATGAGGTAGGAGAGCTGCAGGGCTGTGGGGGGACAGGGCCTTTCCCAGCGCTGGGACTGGCTGGCAGCGCAGAGGGGATGGAGGTTTCCTGTGCTTCTGTCCCCTCCAGAATCTACAAGTACCAGGCGTACGGCTATGCCTTCTCCAGCCTGGAGGAGCTGCTGCGCTCACTGGGGGGTGAGGCCTTTGTCAACATGACGCAGCGCTCGGTGGCTGAGTCCCTGCTGGAGGTGGGTGTCACTCAGCGCTTCGTGGACGACGTCATCGCGGCCGTCCTGCGCTCCAGCTATGGCCAGTCGGTGTTGGTGCCTGCCTTTGCAGGTGAAACCGGGGACCCTCCTCTCCTCCCCGCGTGATTTTTCTTCCCAAGGTCCCCTCTCTGGGCAGCGTGTTGTGCTGGGGAGCCTGAGGCACTGTCTTCTTCCCCTCCCCAGGAGCCATGTCCCTCGCAGGGGCCCAGGGCAGCACATGGGCAGTGGAAGGAGGCAACAAGCTGGTGTGTTCGGGTCTGCTGAAGCTGACCAAAGCTAACGTGATCCCTGCCCGGGTGACAGGCGTGTCTCTGCACAGCTCAGGTGAGGCCCAGCCTGCAGGGTGGACGATGTGGGGTCTGGCCAGCCCCGTGCGCCCCTGGGTGTTGCCAGCCTGAGGCATGGGTCTAGGCCTGACGGGGCGGGAGGTGGTGGGGTGGCGCTGCGGGAATGTTGGGGCAGCGAGGAAGCTTTCAGAGGCTAACAGGTATCAAGGTGCTGATAAAGCTTTCCGGCAAGGGCTCGTACCCTCTCTGCTGCCCTAAAGCATCAGCAACTCATCCATAACCATCACATGCTGTGGTCCAATACTGGTATGTACTGGGAAAGCAGGAGAATGAAGGCTGTGCTAGAAAAGGCAGGGGGAGGGGGTTGGAAGGCCAGGGCAATACAGCTAGGGGCTCAGAGCTGCTCCTCATTGGCCCACCTTCTCTTTTCAGAAGGGAGAGCCCTGTACCAGGTGCACTACGAGGACGGCGAGGGCCAAGGCTCAGGTTTCTATGACATGGTGGTGCTGACGGCTCCCCTGCACCCCAGCAGGAGCAACTTCACCTTTCAGAACTTCGAGCCACCCATTGCCGACTTCCCCGGTGCCTTCCAGCCCACCGTCACCTCTGTGGTGCATGGCTACCTCAACTCTTCCTACTTTGGCTTCCCTGACCCTAAGCTTTTCCCCTTCGCTAGCATCCTCACCACTGACACCCCCGACCTCTTCTTCAATGCCATGGACAACATCTGTCCTGTCAACATCTCATCTGCTTTCCGTCGCAAGCAGCCCCAGGAGGCCGCCGTGTGGCGAGTCCTCTCCCAGCAGCCTCTGGACAAGCAGCAGCTGAAGACCCTCTTCCGGTCCTACTACTCAGTGCAGGTGACAGAGTGGCAGGCGTATCCCCACTATGACTCTGCCAAGTCCCTCCCGCCCATCGTGCTCCATGACAACCTCTTCTACCTCAGCGGCGTGGAGTGGGTGGCCAGCTCCATGGAAATGATAGCTGTGGCAGCCAAAAATGTGGCCCTCCTGGCTTATAACCGCTGGTATCAGGACCTGGAGAAAATTGACCAGAAGGACTTGATGCACAAGGTGAAAACTGAACTGTGATGCACGGGGGAGAAGGTGGGCCAGGAGCTCCTGCGTGTAGTAGCCTTGGGAATATTTATTGCCTTGGGGACACCATGGGGTTTGGGGCTGGGGAAGGAGCTGTGGGCAGGGGAAGGGCTGTGTCCCAGATGACTTGAACATGCTTTGCCTTCAGGAATACAGTCCCTGCCCTGTGTTGCTGCGTGTCTGATGCCATATGCTTTGGTTTTCCACGTGTCCCTCTCTCCACCCTGCACTAAGAGGAGTCTGTGCTTTTTTCTCTATCTTTGATCATCCTTTTATGGAGGGAACTCAGCAGGCTTTTAAGGACAGAGCTGTCTCGAATCAACAGCAGATGGTGCTGGCCCTGGGGAGGAGCAGAGGCTCTGCTCTCCTGCTGAGCTACCCAGCCTTCCCAGGTCCTGGCACAGTGGGGCATGGGGACGTTTCAGCTGCTGTGGTGAGCCCAGCCCAGCAGCCGGCTGGGTTGGGGGTGGCGGGGGTGCTGTGTGGGGACTTTCTCCCACCTTCTGCATACCGTCCCTTCCTCACTTCACCTTCTTACAACTCCGTGGCAGGGCCTGGCCCAGGCTGGAAGCAGGAGAAACGCCAGCACGGTGTTTCCCTGTGCTGTGCGTGTAGGTTAGTCCTGCTTGCCTGGCCCCATACCCTGAGGCATGGATGTGCAGGGTTTGCTGCAGTGGCTCCTGGCATGCAGGGAGAGATGCTTGCTGCCCAGGGTGCCCTCTGTCTCCAAGAGCACCTGAGATTTCCTCGGTGCCTTAGGGAGTCTGGGGCTTGGCTCTGTTTCTGGAGGACAGCAGATCCTTGCTGGGAGAAAGCTGGGCTGCTTTGGTGCAGCACCCGTCTCCTATATCCCACAGGCAGGGAGTGCGGAGGGGCAGCATGTGATGGGCTGAGGCACAGAGCGTCTCAGACAGGGGCCAGCAATGCATTTTATTGAAGAACTCAAAAGCTGCCCCAACCTCCTGAGGGGACTGGCCGCCCACCGCTTTCCTCGTGCTGCGTTCCTCTGCCAGGCATTAGGACACAGTAGTGCGTCTGCCCTTCCCAGTAAAGCTCCCAAGCCATGCACGCGTGTTGGGTGCTCGCTCTGCAGCCCAGGGCTGGGTGGGAGTCGGCGAGGGCCCTTTCCCTCTATCCAGAGGGCAGCCCAGGGCTGGTAGGACCCTCTTGCTTGGTGTCCTGCTGGATGCGTGGCCCCTTGCTGGGGACCGAGCACCCTCCACTCCCCGCAGGCTCAGGGCATAGTGCTGGGGTGCCCGGCTGGGGGTGCTGTCTGAGGGGTGGGCTGCAGGGCTTGCCCAGCCTGGCAGCGGAGCAGACCCAACTCACCCCTCCTGCCCCTTCCTCCTGGCTAAGCCAGGGCAGTGTGGGCTCAGCTGCAAGGAGCTGGGGCACTGCCCTGGTGAAAGGGGACCTGTCCCCAGCACCCTCTGTGTTTCTACATTACCCTCGTGTGCCAGGGATAGTTTTTTGGGCCCAAACTGTGATCTGCTTCCACCTTTCCCCTGTGCAGCCTGGTCCAGCATAAAAGAGCTTGCACGTGAGCGAAGTCGGGCTTGGGAGAGCTGGGAAGGACTGGGTGCTTCAGGTGCTGTTGCACCAGTGGAGTGAATGAAGGCAAACGGGGACTTTGGAGAGGCAGGAGGCCTGCCCCTGCCCTGCCAGAGGGACCTGGGGGCAACCACCTTCCTCTCTGCTCCTCACTGTCCCCACACCCTTCCCTGCTGTGCGCCCACCCTGGAGGTTAGAGGGCTCGGGGCTACGTCTCGTTGCGAGGCCAGATGCAGGACTGCGTAGCTGGGTTACTTGGAGGGGCTGCCCCAGCGCTGGGCATCCCCAAAGTGACTGCTTGGGATGAGGCTGAGGGAGTCTGCAAGGGAATTCCAGGGAGCTTTTGGGTCTAGGCAGCTATAGTCTCCTTGCTGAGAGGCTCCCCTTGCCCTAACAGTCTGGCAACCCTCTCCCAGAGAGAGACTGGGCAGACTTGGGAAGCAAGAGCAAGCTGGTTAGTTGCCCGCGGGTGCCTGCAGGCTGTAGGGGTTAGCTCTGCAACCTCAGAAGATGCAGGTGCAGCCCACAGCAACGGTCTCCATGACTGTCTGGTACTTCTTCTGACACTTCTTCACAGAAGGCTTGTGCCCCACTTCGTTGGGCACCTGGCAGAGCAGCCGGCGGACGGGCAGCCGGCTGTAGATGGGAATGCTGGCCATGGTGCGGTCCTCCTGCATCGTGAAGGGGTTGATGCAGCCAGTGCAGAGGCACCGGGCCTCAGGGATGTCTGCTGGGATCCGTGTTGCGTCGTGGTTTATGCTGGAGGAGAGGGAAAGCAACGCGAAGCTGGAGATACGAAGGGCAATCCCTTCATGGGGTGAAATTGGGCACTGCGTCGCATTGCACCTCTCTGCAATCACAGCAGCCCTGGGATGGCTCCATGATGCTGGAGTAGTGGCCGCTGCAGGGCCCTGCTACACATACAGAGCTAACGCTGCTCAGCCCTGCCTGGGAGAGCTCTGCCCCAAGCTCACCTGTAGGCCCAGGGGGACAAGCTTCTCCGGTTGGACCTCCAGAGCCTCAGGTTGACCTGGCACTTGGTGTCACCTGGCTCGGAGTTGTTCTTGAGCTGGCGTACCATGTCCTGGATGCTCTGCTCGTAGTCTTCCATGGAGGTGTAGGTGTCATCCGGGGCCCAGGCAAGGATGGGGGCCGTTGTGGGGGACCGTGCTGGCCCCCTTCTCCTTCCCTTCGCTCCTTTACTTTGGTCCTTTGCTTCTGGGACCAGGACCATGGCAAAGGTGAAGATGCAGAAGAGAAGCTAAGGAAGGAGGAGGATGGTGTGTGACTGCCCAGGCCTGGAGACCTAACATGCTCCCTTATTGGAAGGGGAACTCTGCCCACCTCAAATGGGTCAATGGGTGATGGCAGGACTGCATTGACTTTAGGGTGGCAAATGCAAATTCCCAGAGGGGCAGTGCTGGTCTGCAGGCTGGGCGAGTTTCCGGGGCTGGTGGGCACACCTTCGTGGTGAGCCTGAAATCCCAGTCCCAGGTGATATGTGTGGCTGGCAAAACCCCAGGCTTCCCATTTTAATTGCCCAAAGTGCCTGCCCAGCCTTCCCTTGCTCATCCTTGAGCTCTGGGGCTGCTCTGCTTCCAGGCCCCACCCCAGAGATGGCTGCATGCTGGGAGGGCTAGGTACACATTCAGCCCAGGGTGTACCTGGGGAGCCGTTGGCTTGAAAGGGGCTTTAGAGATGAGACAGTCAAGAATGGGATCTTTATCCAAAGCCTCCTCTCCCTCCCTCTGTGCTCCGAGGTCGGAGAGAGAGAAAGAAAGATGCTTTTTCCTTTCCTTCTCCCTCCGGCCTCGCGGGGCCGAGCTCCCGTGTGCTGCCGCCCGGCAGGCTGCCCAGCAGCGAACAAAGTTGCTTTCTGTAGCTCTGCTCCCTGCTATTCGTGTCGCTGCAGCTGGCCGGAGGCAGCCCCGCACCCTGCCTGCGGCCGTGCTTC